ATTTTAGCACATTCCATCTCCCCAATTCATGGAAGTGTTTTCTGAGCAAAAAAGTTATATTCTAGACAAAGAAACTGTATTTTGCACAACCTAAAATGTTGAGTGTTTGCTGTTTCTGTTTTGTTTTTGCAAAACACAGTATTTTTTGCATTAAATGCACGTTTTTTGTGCAACACCCACATTTCTTTCTTTGGCTAGTGCTGCTGTTGAAAAAGTTTCTTTGTTTGGCTGATGATGCTGTTGAAAAAGTTTTCACAAACACACACACATCCCCCCCTTTGGTCACAGGGAGAATTTGTGAATATTCATTACATCCTTCCTTCAACTTGCTTGGTAGCCAGTTGGGCCCAAAGCTGAAAATATTACTGGGAATGAGATAACACTCATTTTGGAAACAAGTCCCGTGGCAGAGTCTGAGTGCTAGAGTTTTCATTTGTAGAGATGAGAGGGAGGAATTTGCCTGTGAGGAAACCAGCCCATTTAGCTGTCCAAGCACAAATATTCTTTACTTACTAACCAAACCCAGCTGACCTCCTGCTGCTGCAACTGGAGAAGCTCCAAAGAAAGTCTACCACAGAGTAGGGGAGTGTGGTGAACATCCCTTCCCACTTTCTCTCCAGCATTCCCTTGACCTCCCTTCCTGACAGCCTTTTCCAGTCAACAATCAAATGTGGTTCTGCTCACCTGTTTGCATTTTCTAATGTCTCCACTTTTTTCCACAGTTCATTATTCTCAGATGTATATGATTCAACCCTGGAGAATTAAAAACAATCCCAGATTACAGATAATCAGGTGCATAGTCTCATCTAACCATGTGCAGGCATTGCTTGGAAAAAAACTACCTTTTGGACTACAAGTTCCAGAATCCTCCAATCAGCTTGGCCACTAGTTGGACGGTTCCGGAACTTGTAGTCAAAAAATAACTTCTCAAAGCTTTGCCTCCCAAATGGAGTTAGTTCTTAAGAATCAAGTCAGACTTGATGAGTAAATGTGCACAATTGTATTCAGGAAACAGAAGCTGAAGAAGCCTTGGGACCATGAGGTGGGCATGGGAAAAGTCTACTATCCCTGCGACAACTCTGACAAAAAAATGGCCATTTGCAGTTAACTGAAAAGCCTCTTCTGTGGCATTTCCAACTCGACATCATCAAGCATGCTGAATTACAGCTCTTATCATCCTCATTCAGCAGTAGCTATGAGCATGATAGTCCAAAATTTTTGCAGGGCACCAGGTTGGAGAGGTTTGCTGTATTGTATTGATCTGAACAACAGTAAACCCCTGATTGATTGATTGATTGATTGATTGATTGATTGATTGATTGATTGGTTGGTTGGTTGGTTGGTTGGTTGGTTGGTTGGTTGGTTGGTTGGTTTAGTTAAAGATATATACCGCCCTATAGTGCAATGCAGAATTAATAATACTGTAACTCACTGAAAAAACCCAGGGCATTAGGTTTGGATTGGAAAAGAAAGAGAGGAAGAGAGAGAGAGCATTTTAAAAAGTGTAATTTAAGTGAGAGTACTCCTGGGGTAAAGGTCCATGTAGACCCAGGACTACTCAGCACCCGGTGGATTACATATATAGGCCAAGCACCCCTACAAACGTCTTTTGCAAAACGAAAACGTTGTTTCCAGACTACCCACACAGTCCACTCATCCTGAGTTCTCAGGATAGCTTCTTAAAGAGATACAATGTAACAATTTACTTTGGCAGAACCTTCTTGAAAAATTTAAATAGCATTTTCTGTGGCACAATTTCTGGCAGGAAAAAAAAAGAAACAATTTCTCTGTCCTTTGCAGTCCAGAAGCTGTTTAAGCCTTTCCAAGACCATTCATAAAGTCATATTAAAACACAATAACAAAGCAAGCAAACAAATTCAGTATCACTGTCAATGTCAAGGTGTAGGTTTCTGGGTCTTGCACGATGCCCACTTGCAGAATACAAATAGAGTAACTCAGATTTCCTGATCATATCTCTTATACAGCATTTTCAGTGCACAAAGCTGTTTACAATTCTGGATGAATTTACTTCTCACCACAGACCTGTGGAGCAGGCTATGCTAAAAAGATTACACCTGGCCCAAAGTCAGCTTGTGAGCTGCATGGATAATCAAAGCTTCAGGCTCGCTTCACTGATGCACTCCCTCCAAGATGAGGGTCAGTCAGACCACAAGACATTCATGAAGAACAGTGTATTTGATAGTGACATATGGACAGTCACTTCACTTGTCAATAAATTCCATTCATAGAAGGGATATCTAAGTGATTTCTGTCTTGTAACAACTCCATGTTTACTAAGCAATGTGCAAGGTTTGGGAAACTACTCTGTTAAGCTCAGCAGGTTTTGAACAGGCTGTGGAAAGCACAGCATCTCCTTTGTCAGATTTATGTTTCATTTACATTGGGTACATGGCTGCTTTTAAGTTATAAGCACACAGCAGTCCCTGGAAAAGACCCTGATGTTGTGAAAGTGTGAAGGCAAGAGGAGAAGGGGATGACAGAGGACAAGATGGTTGGACAGTGTGAATTTGATCAAACTCCGGGAGGCAGTGGGGCCTGTTGTGCTCTGCTCCATGGGGTCATGAAGAGTCGGACACAATTTAATGACTAAACAATAAAAATTGTACCATGTCATGTTATGCTGCCAGATGAATGTCTATTCTCTCTGTATATATGTTAATAGACTAAGTTGGTATTTTACTCTCTCAGTGTTACAGTGTAACACTGAGAAAGTGTTACACTGTATTTTACTCTCTCAGTGTTACAGTGTCTATGCAACCTGTTATCTTCTAACTCTGCATATGTCCTGAGAATACATATTTAACCAAAATTCTCAACACCACCCACCGACCCACTCATTGATGGATCCATCCATCTGTCCATCCATCCATCCATCCATATATCATGTATGTTCCATGCTACATCTACATTGGTATCATGGCTATTTTACATTTCTACTCTACTTTACCCACATGCTCAAGGCAACCATAAATCTCCCCTTCCATGAGAAACCTGGAAAGTAGAGATCAGGCTGGCTGATTGACCAGGGACCCCCAATAAGTTTTGTGGCTCAGGTGTGACAGAAGACAAAGGGGGGCAGGGAGGAAGGAGGCAGAAAAGCAAAGGAAAGTTGGCAAGCCTCATGGATTTCAAACAATGTATTTTGAAACATTGACTGAAATCTTGTTGCTTAGTCTAGAGTAGGCCTATTGAATCCATGGGGATTTGGTGATCAAATCCATTTATCCAATTCTGTAAGTTCCATTGCTTAGAGATTTCCTAGGCTAAGCAACAAGATTTCATCTATGGTTTTTATTTTCATATGTAAACATAACTGTCTTTGTGTTTTAAAACTTCAGAATTCAGTTTTAACCACTTTAACAATCTCATTTGGAGCTTTTGTTATATTCTTCTATATAATATTACTCCGAGCTGCTACAACAAGGGGCATCTTTGATGGGCTGAGGGCTGTTTTTCAAATTGCCCAGCAATATGGGAAAGCACACTCCTCAGAGTGTGAAACTGAAGTGGGAGGGGGTGAGGCAAAACTTTTAAAATAATTCACCCATTAACTGGGTTACTCACTCACTCACTCACTCACTCACTCAATCAATCAATCAAATAATTTATTTTAAAGGAATTGCCAATTTCCACATTTTCTCACCCCCAAACTATAAGAAAAATACAATATAAATCAAATCAAATTTAAAAAGTAAGTACATAAATAATCAGTCTGAAGTGCAATGAGCCAAAAAGGAACAGAAACCCATGCAGGGTATGAGACAAAAGTGATGTGTGAATTGTGGAAGAGGTTTGTTGTCACACAGATCTAGTGATCTCCCCTGTTCAAAGGCAAAAGAAACTGGTAACTTTTCAAATGCAAAATTGACTTAGTATGGCTGCTCAGGGAGCAGAACTGACTTACTTTTTCTCCAGACACTCTACATATTCTTTCTTCTTCCTCCGACTCTCTTGTGCAGAAATCTAAAGGAATGTAAATATTAATAGTAATGTGAAGCCTCCATGGTCATTCTAAGGTCAGTCTAAATATAGGAGAATGCAAACTGCATCCCCCTTTTCTTAGAGAAAGCTATTAGTAATGATTACTATATGTTACCTCCAATATTGAAGGTAGAATGACTCTGAATACCAGTTAACAGCGTTGCACTTGTGTTCTGCTGCCTAGGCTCTTTACTGGCTGGTGGCTATGCAAAATGCAATGCTGGACTAGACAGGCCTGTGGTTTGCTCCAGCTCATCTCTTTTGATATGTAAACCGCACATGTCAGTGTGACTGTACATTCTTTACATACAGGGAGCTATGCAATCTAGTTCCTGACAACTCCAGTTCTAAAATTAGACTTGATAGCACAACTAGCAGAGTCGCACGGATAGCTGGGGTGGCCAATACTCTGATGCAATATAAGGCAGCTTCCTAAATTATGTATTAAACTGGATTGTCAACCCATAGTAAAGTTCTTCAGCTTGAGCCATCCTCCTTCCTTTAACAGAAATGTCCCCGAGTTCCTAAGCATTTGTATTAGAATATCTAAGAACGGCCAACTTGTTTTTAAATGTTTGTGCAAGGTACACTAAGAGACACCATCATTTAAGTTCTCACAACATCATGATAACATGATGGTTTGTGAAGATGGGCCAGCATTCAATCTCTTATGTGTTGACAAACCAAGCTAATGTCATGATCAGAATGGAAACCAAGTTTTAAACAGTAAGTGGATTGGTTGTTGTGGGTTTTTCGGGCTCTTTGGCCGTGTTCTGAAGGTTGTTCTTCAGTAAGTGGATTCTTTCTGGGTATGATCAATCATTCAGATTGGCCCATATATATACTGAACGCTTGGTTACACGGATCATTTGAAGTGGGCTGGTGCAGGCTACATAGGGTTGCTTAAGGTCGAGTAGTGATCCTGTATTACCTGTGGTGCAATCTTTACATCCACAAGGAATCCACACCTCAAGCAACCCTATTTTCACCTTTAAAGGTGGGGACAGGGGGAGAACAGCTGCCAGCCTTCATCCTTTGCCTTTGAGTTTTCTGAAAAGGGGAGAAACTGAGCTAATAAAAACAACATACCATTTTGAAAGAGCAGATTGCTTCTGCTTCTCTCTCTGACACACACACACACACACACAATCCCCACTCCACCCATGTGCCCCACTCCCATCAATCAGAATGCTGGTAGGGTAGTCTTGACCCATAGGGAAAGCACCAGGTTTGGAGAAGGCTGTCCTATGCATTGGGGTCACAGACCTTGTTCTTAATTTTCCGCCTAACTCTCTTCAGTGCTTTCTCCTCTGCTTTGGTAAGAGGCAGCTTGGTTGGGATGGGATAGCCTTCAGCAACTAGGGTTCGTTTCTCCTCTTCAGTTAGGAGTAGGGGTCCTGAAGTCCCTTGTAATTTCTGTAGGTATAAAAAAAGAAGAAATAATCAAACTTTGTAGAATATGCATCAACAGCAACAAACTTCTTTCTGCTAAGAAATCCTCCTGATGAAGTTTTTTCATTGCAACTATCAGAACACAGGAAGGGAGAAAATCAGATCAGTGCGTTCATCTGTATAGCATTATTTGCACATGCAAATTTCTTGGGAATTTTGTGTCTCTCCACTAAAGACAAATCAGAGTCCTGTGGTGCCTTAAAACAGAGGTTCCCAATCTCAGATAACCCAGATGTTCTCAGACTGCAATTCCCAGTTACCCAAGGCTGGGAACCACTGCCATTAAAGATTAGCAGATTTTTTTTCTAGTGCAAGCTTTCAAGGACCACAACCCACTACATCAGAAATGTAAACTATCATAGAATGGGTTTCATCCTGATAGGAAATGTGGATAGTCTTACCTTTGGTTAGCAGGATGAGGCTGTGGGTAGAGGGGTCGAGAGAGAATGTCAACAGTAGTTTGGACAGTGGCTGAAATCTAGTAGTAAGTTATAACTAAAGTAAGCCAATTTAATTAATGGAGCTTACATAGCTCACCAAATTCCCACATACTCAATGGACCTTCTCCAGTTGTCCTACTGGATTTCAGTCAATAAATCCAAGAGATGAAGTTACTATTCATCATAGCAGTAACTGCCTAAAATACCATTTCCCCCAGCATTTTTATGCTAGTGTAACAGACAGAAGCCTTAATAACTGGGCAGAAATTCGGCTAAGGCAAAAATTACCTCATAATGTCTAGTCGTCGATCTAGAATGGCCACATTAGCTAAGGTGACTGAAGCTGCAATGCAACCTACTTGGGGGGCACCAGGTTGGAGCATCTGCTATAAATAAATCTGGGTTCTGGAACTGGCTCTGACTGTGTTTAATATCACCGTGCTTAAGCTGCAGCAAACTGTGATTGTGTCAATATTGAGAACTGCAAAAGAAATTCTAGTATTTCAGCTGATTCAAGATGTAAAGAGCTACATAGACTTTAGTGCTCTTAGCAAGGAGGTGCCTTACTGTTATTATTGTCACATGCTTACATGTGGCGCTGTGAGGAGAGGAGAAGAAGAGATTGCTGTGGAAGAGCGAGCAGTAGGGCGGGCTGGACTGGAGGGAGGCAGGGACCTTGGACTCTGAGACCCATCACTGTCACTGCCGTGGCTGCTGGGAGGAGTAGGTGGCATCTGCACCAAATCATCTAAAGCAGGAGAGACCAAAGGTTCAAGTTATCAAGAAACTAGTACAAACAGATAAAAGTTCTGACTTACAAAGCCCTGAATGACTTGAATCCAAGTCACTGCATTTCCCTTTATGAGTCTGGCTGGGTTTTAAAATCATCAGGGGAAGCTTCTCTTTTGTTCCTACAATCCTCATGGGTATGTTTGGTGAGGACACAAGAGAGGACCTTCTCGGTTGCTGCTTCTGAGCTGTGGGACTCCCTTGCATGCAAGGTCAGACTGGCCCCCTCTTTGCTGCCTTTCTGTGAGCAGTCAAAGATTTTTCTCTTCAGGCAGGCTTTTTCTCACTCACTGGCTGCCTAAGATGTTTTTTGTTTTGTTCTGTTGTTTGCTTTCTTTCTGTTCCTCCCCTTCCAGTTGCTATTTTGTTTGTTTATAATGCTGTAAGCTGTCCTGGGCCATCTTCAGGAGAAAGGTATGGTAGAAGTATTTTAAATAAATAATAATACATAAAAGCCAAAAATATCTATACAGCTGCTGCATTTTTTGAAATGCAGACCTGGTAATGCTAGTAAGTAGCAGTAACTTTACTGTAATACTACTTAAAAAGGTAAAGGTTCCCCTTGACATTTTCAATCCAGTCGTGTCCGACTATAGAGCCGTAGAGCCAGCGCTTGTCCGAAGACAGTTTCCATTGTCACGTGGCCAGTGTGACTAGGGAATGCCGTTTTACCTTCCCACCGAGGTGGTCCCTATTTATCTACTAGCATTTGCATGCTTTCGAACTGCTAGGTTGGCAAGGAGCTGGGACAAAGCGACGGGAGCTCACTCCGTCACGTGGATTCAATCTTACGACTGCTGGTCTTCTGACCTTGCAGCACAGGCTTCTGTGGTTCAGCCCACAGTGCCACCACGTCCCTTACTACATACAGTAATGTAAATATTACTTTTGACTTGATCTGATTATTAGCTTCCTAGACTGCATAGAAATATAATAGGTCTCCCCATCCGTTGGATTAGTATCCGCTAATTCACTTATCTAGAAACCCCAGAAATACTTATTTACATGTTTTTCTAGGGAGTGTTTACCAGAACTGGCCACAAGAGGTGGCCCAAGACCATGAAATGTATAGTGTCAGATACGTCAGCATTTCCCAGCATCTGTGGGGGGAGGGGCTTGGAACTAATCCCCGCAGATGCTGTGATCCTACTGCGTAGTATTTAAAAGGTTAGAAGATAATCCCGCAGATCCACAGCTAACAAATACCCATCCTCACAATCCCCACTACCCATCAGTAACCTGTTTGAGAAGTACATGTTGTTGCTTTGGATTCTTAGACAAATGGAATGGCAGGAGATTCTGCAGTAGACAGTTCTTTGATAATGAGGAGGCTGAGGATGGTGGTACGGGGTGAAGGAAACTAGAGGAAACTAGTTGAAACTGTTGTCTTACCTGTGGGTACATTTAGAAACTGGTTCACCTCTCTGGGTTCAGCTTTAATTACAGGCTGGGGTGTCATTTCTTCGGGAGTCTGCCCAAAATACAGATATACAGTAATTCAGTTTTCAAAGGCAATTCTCACATGACTTTGCCCTCTCCTCCCCTGCAGGCTGACTATGTTCTTGAACAGGCTTGCATCATTCACAATTGCCACTTTGGTGATTTTATGCCAGAAAATAAGTATGCACAAGTTCATCTCTAGACACGATGACTCTACACATGTGGTGTGAATTTTTGTCATGTTCTCCTGTCCTAGCTAGATCTAAACTGTTTTTATATTAGTGAAATGCTGTGCCACTAATAGACACAGAAGGCAGTGGATTTAGGTTTCTCATCTCTATGAAAGTCCCTAATTTATGAGTGATAGACTGGAATAGAAGACACATTACTGTTACATATTACATTTGTTCCCTGCCTTTCTGCTATCAGGCAGTGTGCCGAGTGTCAAAAACATTCATTTAGCCACACAGTTCTGCAGGTTAGACACAGATACTCTTCTCTGTGTGTCATGCAGGCCTTCAGACACAGTTTAAGACAATTCAGATAAAGAAATTAACAGCACTGACAAGAATATTTGGGCAATCAAGTGATATGGAAGAACCAGTCCACTGCTATTGCTACTTTCCCTCACAAGGATAACTTGCCAATTTGAAGAAAGCCGAATGCATTAAGGTAGCAAGATGTTACTTTGTCTGCTGTGACTTCCTGGCCTCCTTTGGAGATCTGATTAATGCTGATACACACTTCACATAGACAAATTAAAACTTCCTTCTTTATAAAAGTTCCCAGTGCCCAGGGATCATAGCTTCCTTGAGTATACACTCAAGTATAATGTTTCACTTGGCTAATGTTGTTGTACTGTCTGTATTTCCTTTGAATATGAAGGAGGGAATGAACAGAGATGTACATAGAAATCCAACTTCATAGAGACATCTTCTATCAGAAGGCAGCCTCTCTCACTGAGGTCTGGTTTGAAAATAAGGACTGCAAGAAAGGTGAGCAGGGCCCCTGAAATTGCCAATCAACAACTAATACCTGGCTAGCAGAGTACCATCTGGTAACAGCCTTCTCCACAGTGGTGAGTCATATAGCCTATTCACTACATATTTCCAAATTTGCATCTGAACCAAAATATGGAGACTATGCATATATCTATGTCTCTCTTTTTGGAAATGTAGAAGTGGTCACCCTATCAGTAGAGTGCGTGCTTGCATCTGTCCCTTCCTTGACTGCTGCCTCCCCTGCTTGGAGCATCTGCCATCTCTTCAGTCATGTTTGTGAGCACTCACACATTGTGCCCTGTGAGTGGTCTTGTCCAAGTGCATTTAGGGTGCAAAAGATCTTGGTTAACTGGTGCCTTACTTGACTCCAATTGGCATGGACTTTGAATACAGTGATGCCACGCATAGCGATGTAATCCGTTCCAGGATTAACGTCGCTATCCGGATTTGTAGCTATGCGGGGGGGGGGAACCCATAGGGATGCATTAAACTCCGTTTAATGTGTTCCTATTGGGGAAAAACTCACCGCTATGCGGGGAATCCTCCATCTGGCCGCCATTTTCGCCGCCCGGTAAGCGAGGGCAGGGCATGACAATGCTGCGGGCAGCCATTATGTTGACCCGGCGGCCATTTTGGAACCGCCAATCAGCTGTTTGTAAAACATAGCAATGCGAAGATCGGTAAGCGAAACGCTTACCGATCATCGCAATGCGATGTTTTCCCTATCTAAAACATGGCAATGCGATCGCATTAGCGATCGCAAAAAAAACGCGTCGCTATGAGGATTCGTTGTTAAATGGTGCGCTCATTAAGCGAGGCACCACTGTACATCTTATTATGCGCACCAATGCGTCTTGTGATGGCAGCCACTACCTTTCTAGCTTTCCATTCCCTGTCCTTTTTGTGCTCAGGCAATTATCTCCCATCTTTCCTGTTCCACATTTTTCTTATACTGTCGCATGCCAGAGGACTAGAGCTCGAAAGCAAGCAAAAACTGCCAATAGCTTTTGCCCCCAGCAACATAGTCCAAAACAAGAGTTGCCAAGGGAGAGTGATGATCATGCAGGTTTGCTGCAAGGGTGTACTGGACAAATGGCATTTCTACAGTGGACAACGTCATCTTTGCCATTGCCTCCTCTCCCCTCCAGTCCCTGAAAAGACCCACTTAATATTTCCTCCAGATTCAAATGGGAAGCCTACTTTTGGTCTAATTCAAGGTGGTTTTGTTTACACAGCTTCTGTTCACTGGACTTTCTATAGTACCATACAGCAGCTGTTCCTGATCACATGAGGTGGAGAATTAACATGCCGATCCCTTGGTCCCCAGCTGCACCAATGTGATCCGCTCTTACTCAAGCCCCTATCCCACAAAGGGCCATCACACGAAACACTGATATTTTACACTGCCCCAGATTGTAAACACAGCTTGGGGAAGAAGTTTGGTATGGCTGTCAAACACACACACACCACATGGGTCTGCATTTGTGGACACAGTGAGAGCAAGCTGAATAAGCAAAGAAGGAAGTTTGTGTGCATCTCTGGTTTGAGTTGCTGGCTTGTTCCATGCTGTTTCTTTTCCCTGCCATGAGTCAGAGGAAGACAACCCACTTTAGATTTTAGTATATACTTTCATAATGGCACTGCAACTCCCATCAGGCTCAAACAATACCAACTGGCTGGTGATTATGGGAATTATAGATCAACATGGCTTAAGCATGATAGTTTGGAAGAAGGATGCCTCACTGTACATATGGCTCAGGGGAATTTCTCACTCCACAGGGAACACCAGGAAAGTTAGAATCAATAGGAGAAAGATTAAGCCTACGTCTTTCTCAGGCCTACGTCATATCATTTGCATAACCATGTTGTACCTCTTGCCCTGCAGTGGGCATGCTCTGGAGGTCCAGGGACAATTTCCCACCCTGGGATCCACCATGGGCCACAGTTGCCCCCAAAACAAAACCAGAAGTGGCTGAAAGTTCATGTCCACTTTTGTAAAAGCTGTTTTTGGAGGTATGGGGAGAAACAAGGGGAAGGGGATGGTAGATCTTGTTTTAAAGGAGAATTGTCAGTCCTGGAGGCAGTCCCTCTTCTCATCAGGTTAGGCTCTTAAAAAGCAATCAGTCCCATAATCTCTTGTACCTCCCATGGAGCTTAGACATTCCCATCCACTTCCTTCTTCTTTCCAGCCAATGGCTGTTGCTCCAGAGAGAGACTGGCAGAGACAAAAATGTGCAATTTGAAACTCCCCCGAGGACCTGGATTTTTGGGCTACAGCTACCAGAATTCTAGCTTGAGAAATTCCTGGTGAATTTTGGGTGCTGTAGTGACAAAAAATCTGAAAGTCCCATGCCTAAAAGAACCCCATCTGGCTTACAGATTTTAAGAAGAGCTTTCCAGAACCATTACTTTGAACCTATCATTAAACAAAATACTCCATCCAGAAACCTAGGGTGCAATCAGAAGGGGAAATAGCTTGCATTCTGAACTAGCCATGACACAGTCTGATGTGAGTTACTTCCTGGTGACCATAGGATGTACACAAAATCATGAACCAGCCCAACCTGATCTGTGTTCAATCTGGACCTTTTCGGCATAGCAGCGGAGCTATATAATTTTTGAGGGTTGGGCTGAGCAATTCCTCCATGGATGAATGAGTCACTTTAAGGGACATTGCTCACAGCAAAATGACTCTTCCCAGTGTGATTAGACACAATCCTTTCTCATCATCTGATTGCACCCATACCAAGTTCACATTGGGCTTTTTCTTTAAAGAACAGCTCACAATTAGTTCTAGCTTTTATTTTGTGTCTTCTAATGGCTTTTTTATTCAGAATGAGGGGCCTGAAGAAGTCATAGTATCAAAATTAGAACTTTGGGCTGTTGCCAATATTTCAGCAACAATGGACTCACCTCTTCAGGGACTGGTAACCTTTGCACTGGGCTGAGGTTCAACATGGGCACTACATTAGGTGGTAGCTGGGTCTCAGGAAGTTCTGGCACCGTATTCTGCTCTTGCTTCACCATGATGGAGCACAGCTTATGCTGGAGAGACCACATACCATTTTCCAGTTCTGAGAAAAGAACCATATTGAAGTCAAATGACAAAGAGCTCTCTAGAAGTAAATCCTGTTATTTCCAAACAGAACATGTGCATATTGTACAACAATTGGCTTAACATAGAACATTATACATTGCTAACATGTGCTGGATTATGTAGAAAGCCAGAGAGTTCCAGAAAAAAATCTACTTCTGCTTCATTGACTACACAAAAGCCTTTGACTGTGTGGACCACAGCAAACTATGGCAAGTCGTTAAAGAAATGGGAGTGCCTGACCACCTTATCTATCTCCTGAGAAATCTATATGTGGGACAGGAAGCAAAAGTTAGAACTGGATATAAAACAACTGCATACATCATGCGAAAGGCTAGACTGGAGGAATCCCAAACTGGAATTAAAATTGCTGGAAGAAATATCAACAACCTCAGATATGCAAATGATACTCTGCTCTGATGGCAGAAAGTGAGGAGGAATTAAAGAACCTCTTAATGAGGGTGAAAAATGAGAGCACAAAAATGGTCTGAAGCTCAACATCAAAAAAATCATGGCCACTGGTCCCATCAACCTCCTGGCAAATAGATGGGGAAGAGATAAAGGCAGTGACAGATTTTACTTTCTTGGGCTCCATGATCACTGCAGATGGTGACAGCAGCCATGAAATTAAAAGACCCCTGCTTCTGGGGAGGAAAGTGATGACAAACCTAGACAGCATCATAAAAAGCAGAGACATCACCTTGCTGAGAAAGGTCCACATAGTCAAAGCTATGGTTTTTCCAGTAGTGATGTATGGAAGTGAGAGCTGGACCATAAAGGACTACAGAGGATGAGATGGTTGGACAGTGTCATCGAAGCTACCAACATGGATTTGACCAAACTCTGGGAGGCAGTGGAAGACAGGAGGGCCTGGCGTGCTCTGGTCCATGGGGGCATGAAGAGTCAGACATGACTTAATGACTAAACAACAAGAACGTTATATATTTTTGGACTACGATACTCAGAATCCTTCAGCCACAATGGGCACTGGCCAAAAAAGTAACTTTCCAAGTCATGACAACTAGATATATTTCTGCTGAGGAGCAGAGCTGCTGCTGATGTTTAATTCCTCACATTACTGTGGAGAAAGGGAAACACTTGGCTTTCAATTGAATTTGTCTCTTCTATGTACCATAGGAATGAGATTTCTTGCATAACTTCTCTCTTGTGGATTTTGACGGAAGCTGATTGTTACAAAGGCAATGTCCTCAGGAATGATGTTAAGCATGGCTCTGTTGGAAATAATAAGCTATAGTCTAGTTCCAATGGGCAGGTGAGCTGGAGAAACACTCATGGACTGAGGAAAATTATGACAGAAGGTTGGATGACCCATATAGTCCATATGTCACATCCTCTCAAAAATGATGAACAATGCTGTGTTCTTTTAAAGACTAGCATATATACTGTGGCCCAGTTTTCATAGTTCCTTAATGGATTAAGGTCTCTCCTCAGGGCTGGTGCAAGGCATTTTGTGCTTGAAGCAAAGAACAAGTTAATTCCCACTCATATGCCCCCACCCACACACCCCTTAACTGGAATTCAACTAAAAGCTAGTGATGAGACAATATGTTTCGTAATACCTGCTCCAGCTGCCTGGTTTAACGAAACAGGGGGGAGGCTGTGCAACAACAAGTTTAGAAAGAATTTCTGGGAGGCAGACACTGCTGTCCCTCAGAATCTTAGGCTATTGTCTCAATTTACTTAATAACAGGGCCATCACCTTCTTGCCCACAAAATCCTAACTCCATTTTTTAAAAAAGGCAGAGTTTGACCTATTTTGCTGTCTCTACTAAACCTTTTTCTGAAGAGGAAGTTGAGGCAGGAGGTGAGCTGTGCTTGGGGGGACATTTTATTTGGTGAAGTGTTTTCTTCTAGGCTGACCTTTGTTCTCCCTGACTGCATGGTCTGAGGGGGCACGGTTTTAGCTTTAAATGAGTGCGAGCAGTAGTTCTAAGCCCTTTTCCTGAAGACGAAGCTGAGGCAGGAGGTGAGCTGTGCTTGGGGGGACATTTTATTTTCTTCTGAGCTGACCTTTGCTCTCCCTGACCACGTGAACAGAGGGGGCAGGATTTTAGCTTTAAATGAGTGTGAGCAGAAGCGGGCACCTAATGGCGTGTGAAATTCTCTGGTTCTCTTTTTTACTCTAATCTGGTAAATAGGAAAGCCAAATAGCATTGTATACACCTGGGGGGGAAGGAAAGTTTTAGGGGTAGGATCATACGTCCGCTCTATTAGGGAGCAGGCTGCGTTGGTGGGGCTCATCAGCCTTGGAAGGCAGCCCATACAGGAGAAGGAAAACTCCAATTTCAAACCTCCACTGCCTTGTGGCTATATCCACTGATGGAAAAGGCTTCAGGAGTTAACCTCAAGGCAAAATCTGGAGCCGGAGTCCCGGAGGCAGTTCGTGTCATTCTGTCAACTCCTGCAACGTCGCTAGAACCAGTTGTATTGGCTCTTGCCTTTGAAATGGACTATTTCAGCAATGTGGAGAGGGGGGATTTGCTGCTTGGGTAACAGCCTATCCTCCATATTGCTTTACCCAGGCTGCGTGCTCTGGAGAGGACACTGCAGCTTCATATACAACATCGTAATAACACGGCAATTAGCAGTTACTGGTTATAAGTCTTTGCTCAATTGGCGTAGAGCATGACACCAGGGACTACTTCCAATGGTGGGAGAGGTCATTGCATTTCACTAGGTAGCTACCGTCCACCTTAACCTGGGCAGTCCCCAGCCAGTAAGATGCTACCTCGCCACGGTCTGTTAACCTCACGGGGTGCATGGGGTTTAGGGTGAAAGCCAACAAACAGATCGATAAGCATGCAACAATCATAAGAAAACTTCTGCCCTAAAATTGGGCACCTGGAATGTTTGGACAACAACCCCTGGCTTTTCTGATGACCTGGAGGAAATAGACAACATGCACAAGACAGCTGTCATCGACATGGAACTGAGTGGACTGCAGATGGACATTGTTGCCCTACAAGAGATGAGATTGCCAGACACGGGATCTGTCAAAGAAAAAAATTTCTCATTCTTCTGGCTGGGAAAACCATTGAATGAGACTAGGGAATATGGTGTTGGCTTTGCAGTCAGAAATACTCTGCTGAGATCCATTGTTTCACCTACTGTGGGGAGTGAAAGAATCCTGTCTCTGCAGCTCCACTCATCAGTGGGATCTGTCACCCTCATTAGTGCATATTCACCAACACTATTGTCCACAACAGAAGTCAAAGACAAATTCTCCAACAATCTGGCAGCTACTATCAAAAAAGTCCCTGAGAGAGCGCCACTGTTCATTCTTAGATACTTTAACGCTAGAGTTGGTGCTGATCACAATTCTTG